ATTTAGAATCAGCTCGGAACGCTGATTCCAAATATGCTATCCTTAGCTGCGAAGCGTTCCTCTGAACCGAGTTATGAGCTTTTTTAGTAAGTGTCATTGACATACAAATGAATAGGGAAAGAAGGTCTTTAGATGAAAATTTGCCCAAAAAGTGGTGGAAAATCAAAATAACATCAAAATGAGTGATTTGGCATTGATAGTTTATATGCATCTGAACCACTACCTAGATGATGATACCGTAGCATGCCTAAGTCTGTCAACACGCAAAATTTGCTCAGGAAAAAGCTCATAACTCGCTTCAGAAGAACGCTTCGCAGCTATGGAAAGCAGATTTGAAATCAGCGTTTCAAGCTGATTCCAACCATATGTGCCACATTTCAAAAGCCCGACCTAAGTTAAGTGACTTCCCTTGTTAGTCCCAAACCTAGACGCTAGTACGGCTGAAATTTACACAAGGGATTGAATATCCAGCTTGACCCGAGGCGGATGTAACCGTCGGGGACTCTGGGCGTGGAGGAAAGGGGAACCTCAAGACTGATGCTCGTCACTTCCGAAATCTTCAAACGCTAGTGCGAAAAGACGCGAGTGTTGCATGTGATATGATGGAAGAGCAAAGATTCTCTCTCAACTTCATCACAAAAAAGGCTGGTTGTATTCAAGTAGCAAAAAAACATTTTAGAATTTTATGTCACTTTTTCAAAGGTTAGAAGAAAGATCACTCTGCTAAGGCTTCATGAATTTCTCAAACATCAGAAATTCCCAAAACTGAATTACATTGATTGTGGCTAATTTCTTGCGAAATTCTGCGGATGTTTTATGACAGAAAAGGCTATTTCTCTAGGAAAGAGCTCAAGCCACCTTGCGGTGCGATACATGAAAGAATAAAAAGCAAGAGAAAGTTTTCTGCTTCCCAGTCTCCGATATCCCAAACCAAGTCCCCTCGCTCGTTTACCACAAGGCCTGAAAGTCCAATATTTACTAGGCTTCATTCTGGTTTCTGAGCAGATAATCCGAAAGCAGAAAATGACGTCATTGCATACGCGCCTGTACTTCAAGCTCTGCAGCTTCAGCGCAGTAAGCCTTTCCTTATAAGATGGCAATAATTGGGAGTAATCAGCACTAGGGTAGCAACGGTAGTACACAATTCTTGTAAAAGTTTTTTGCACTTTTTCGAGCTTTCAGCGTTCCTTTTTGAATGGGGACTCCACACTGGAGATGCATACTCTAGGTGCGGCAACACATAAGTCTTGTAAAGTTTGACAAGGTGGGATCATTACTGTGGATATTCCTGAGTATAACGAAAAGGATTGGGAGAGCTTTACTGGCAACCGTGTCGTAGTGACGGTTGAAACTGAGCTGGTCATTAAGAAGGATCCGTATCGATACCCAAGTCTGTAGTGACGTCGCAAAGTTTCGATGCGATACCATCGCACTGGTAAGCGGCGGGTTGAGAATCCACAAGATGTAAGACCTTAGACTTGAGAGCGTTTACAGGTATAACCCACTCCTTGTACCAGAGGTTAATTTTCTCTATAGACAAGGAAATTGCTCTGCGAGCTTCCATCCTCTTCCTATCAATATAGCAAAAGTAAATTTTGATATCGTCTGCAAGAACTTGGACCCTAATCTCCGGATGTGTCCTCAAAAGCGATGGCAGTTCAGCAGTTAAACCAGAAAGAGGTGTGGGGAAAGTATACTCTCCCGAAGCACACCACTGCTACAGTACGATCGTCTTGAAAAGCTATCACCAACACGCACAATTATCCTTCTATCGCATAAGTAGGATGAAAACCAAGACAATAGTTGTCCGCGGATACCATATGTTTCAAGTTTGAAAAGCAAGTTTAAGTGATTTACTCTTTCAAACGCTTTAGGAAGATCAAAAAAGACGATATCCACTGAATTTCTATGGTTGATAGCACTTATCGAATCGTAGACTGAGTCAGTCAGTAATGCCGTAGTAGAGCCCCCACGAAGAAAACCATGCTGTTCCGGAGGGATGATCTTGTGTCTGTCAAACCACTCAATCAACTTTTCATTTAGTATTTTTTCGAGAATTTTACCACTGGGGCAGTGATACTAACTGGGCGGAAATTTGAGATTGTATTGAGTTGCTCGCCTTTGGGTATGGCCGTCACCAGCGCTTCCTTCCAAACTTGTGGTACTTGACCCAGTAGAAAAGAAGCATTGAAGATGAAGGACGGAGAGAAGGTGACAGCTTGGGCACATTTTCGGTATATAATCTGCGCAAGGCCGTCGTATGCAACGGCGATCGTTGGTTTCAGCTTTCTCAAAACCTCATGAACTTTATAAGGCTCCACAAAAAGTTGTGTGCAGTCCTCGCTAATTTGGATCATATTTGTTGAAGAAGTACCTGCTTCAGTACAGTCGTTGGTCACTGTAAAAAAGCTAGCAAAGAATTTTGCTAGTGCCTCTTCTTTTTTGTTATCATTTATGAAAGTATTGCCTTGTTTGTCTGTTAATAACGAAAGCTTATGTTGCCCTTTGGTTTTTGATCTAAAATATTTGTAAAGCTTCGATTGTTGCTTAGAAAAACGTCTTTCGCGAATGGCAAGATATTTTTTGATATGCCGACTAATATCTTTACATACTTTCCTATAAAGCTCAACGTTTAATGCTGATTCCAAATACGCTATTCCCAGCTGCCGAGCACCATTCCAAAGCGAGTTATGGGCTTTTTCCTGTGCAAGATTGGCATACTACTGGACGTGGGAAGACTGCTTAGATAAAAATCTGCAGAAAAGGTGCTGTGGTGTCGGAATGACACAGATCCAATCTAGTCTCACTAAAAAGAAGCTTAACGCAAGTGTGTTAACACTTAGGTGATGATGCGTGATGCCATTAAGTCGATGAGTTTGCCAATTTCGTGCAGGAAAAACCCATAACTCGCTTCGGAATGGTGCTCGGAGCTAGGTAGCATATCTTATATATAAAGCTGAATGTCTGTTTGTTTGTATGTCTGTATGTGTGTACCAGTGGCGTACCCAGGATTTCCGCTCGGGGGGGGGGGGGCGCGACAAAAAATTTTTTTCGAATGAAGGTGCGTGGCATTAGCCACGCACTCCGAAAAAATTTAAGGAGTGCTTCTCAAAATTTTGTGGGTCCCCAACCCCTAAAATCAGGAAAAAGGGGGCGTGGCTTCAGCCACGCCCCCGAAAAAAAATTTTTTACAAGGCTAATTTGAATTTTTAAAAATTTTTAAAAATTATTTTAATTATTTACAAAAATAAACAAGTCATTTGCACATTTTTATAACCCATATAAGTAACTTTCAAAAAACTCGCGACCCATTCTCGGGGGGGGGGGGGCGCCCCCCCCCCCGCCCCCCCCCCTCGGTACGCCACTGGTGTGTACGTATGTTCCGAATAGAAAATTCCATATCTGAACCGATCCGGACCAAACTTGGCATACACTTCGGGCCCCGGTAGGTGTCATAGGCTACTTTTCGTTATCGATCGATATCGATTTTTATCGATTTTTTTGCAGAGTTTACCTACTGGGCTGGGAGTTGGCAAAGCGGGTAATCGAGCATGGGGATTCCGAATACAATATTAGTTTTAAAGATTATCGATTACTTTTATCGATTTCATCGTTTTTGTTTGAGCAACGGGGCTGGGAGTTGGCACAGGAGGATAATCAAGCATGCTGATTACTAAAACAGTGGGAATAGTGATTTGGCATGTAGGCGTGGGCACAAGGAAAGGTTCGTACAGGAAATGGGATAGTGTTCTTTTACATAGTTTTTGACAGGGCCGGGCGGAGCCGGGTAAGCCAGCTAGTTTGGAATAAACGTTTGGAGCTGAAACAGAATAGATATGTCCCCTGCCAAGGGGCCGAGCTACGTTAGGTAGCTTCCCTTGTAAGAAACGAGAGAATACGGGAACTGTATAATAAAATCTGCGATGTATCAAATGTTTGTTCAGTTGAGTTGGTGATCTGTAGGATGTTTTGGAACGGAGATATGTTAATTTGAAATAAAATCTGTTTTTGAGTACTATCAGATTTGGCTATAAACTTTATCTGGAGTACGATTCAGACGGATGCTTGGTGATCACCTTGTTTTGTTTTGCTCTATCATTTGGTAACCCAAGCTGCACTCAATAAAGAAAAGACTACAATTTTATAAAACTGGGAAAAAATTATGGGCACCATGATAGTTCGCAGTTTTTTTTTCTTGTTGACCTCAAAGCCGTGTTATTGTTCCTGTAATCAAAATAAATGCTGTGTACCTCTTCGTGCACAGATCATTCGAAAAATCGTGACGTAACGCGACCGCGCGCGATACCCACGCACTTCCGGCAACCGCATTTTCTTGGTTTTCATCTCTACTTGAATGGTTTTTCTGCTTACATATAATAATATTTAGACAATGAAAGTGACTGAGCTGAGCGTTAAGGTGCTGCCCTTATGTATGAGTGATTCATGCTCTTGAGGGCGCAGACCGCATTCAAACCATCGTCACAATTTTATAAATGACCTATACTTATCTTACAGTCGCAAAGTAGAAATCAATCCATACTAGACACTCACCCTGTCACAAAACTAATCTTAATTGGGTTTTTAGTGTCTAGAGCTGATTTAAGTTTAGAGCTTGATTAGGGATGATTACAGTTTTCTGGGAAACCTTTGCAGAACATATTAGCGAAGGTTCCGAAAAAGTGGGCATCGCCATTGGCGAGCCGCCGGAGCTTCTCCAAGTGCCCGAAACCCTAGCACCGACTTTCTGAGAAGGGCAACCAATCTACTAGACAAATCAAGCGCTTATTAAAGGAACATTAGGACTGATCAGAAGACAGGTCATCGCGAAATTTTACTACGATATCCAGGAACTTAAATATGGGAACCTCAGCGAATTATCAGACTGGAAAGTAATATTAACATCTAAGCAAATTTAGTGAGTTTCAGACATAACCGTAAAAATCAAAGCAACTTGAAATGATAACCGTAAAAATCAAGCAACTTGAAATGATGGGATGCAAAGCTGATATGGAAACTGTAACATGCAATATAAATGGGCGATCAAAAAGCAGCAGTCAATGAGGTTGTCGATTCATCAGATTCTACGATTAACTAAACATTTTCGAGATCAGATCCAGCAAAATTTCTGTCATACAGAACCAAAGCGTCGTTTTCTTTTGATGCAACATATTTTGGATAACGATAGGGATCATCTGATGATGTAAGTAAAACAATCGTCTTATTCTGTCTGCCAGTAGATTTCTCCTGGGCGGAGACGCAGAGAATACCGTTGGAGTCGATATCAAAAGTGACCTGATACACGACTATCATACACATATATAAGCTCCTGCAAGACGAAGGTGGTCGGTTCTAGGTACGACGTGGCTGTGACGCGGCTGTGACTCGGCTGTGACGCAGCTATGTCGCAGCCGCGTTGCGCATTGAATCGACCGCCTTCGTCTTGCAGGAGCTTATACAATGCGTTTGACGGGGCCAGCGCCGCGTAGTGCAGTTACACACCTGCGCGCGAGGGCCATGCCGCGCAAAGCGGCGTGGTCCTTGAATTAGCTGCTCTTCCTTTTCCTTTCTTAGCTTTTTCGCTGTCCTGCTTCCAAATTTCTGAACTTTTCCTGTCTAAACCCTTCGGTGCTCTTCCTAAGATCTCTCAAAGTATCACCGCGCGAATTAGAAGACAAAATGGAGGCTGAGGTGTAAAAGAAAATGCAATTTAAACCAATTCATTTGAGAACTCTGAAAACGGCGTGCTCTTCCTCTTTACAGCCAAACTGGATATATGAGGTGTAATCGTTTGTCGTATAGGTTTGAGTGAACAGCGCCAACGCGCGGTTCACTCAAACCTAGACGATATACAATCATGCCCGCTGAAACAGAGTCGATATAATGAATCATGACATCCGAGATCAGCCATCAAGAATGCCTGGATGAAAATATGTCATGAGAAAAAACGCTCAAAGATTTGATGCCTCCTTCCTTAGCTGCGAAAAGAAACGTATCCGGTACCAAGACAAATCGCATATGAGCACAGAAGCAAGGAAAATGGCAATACGCCGCTACAAAAAAGGAGAAATTACAATATACAATGATAAAAACAAGGCCCGCGATGTTGTGGGGTGGAGGAACGAACGCCTCAATTAGCCATCGCCTCTGCGGGCTGCTGGTCCTTTCGTCCTACTGTTGTGCATCGTGTTGGGACCAGTGGTCCGTGGAGGCGGTGCCTAATTGAGGTGTTCGTTCCTTCACCCGATGTTGTGCGCAGCATGGTCCCTGCACGCTGCGCCTACGGTAACGCTCGCGCGTAGATGTGTGACTGCCTACGCGGCGCTGGCCTCGTTGAGAGTATTGTACAACCTTTAGACCCGGCCAGACTTCGCTCAAAAGCCTCTTTCGCGTAGGAACGCATGCGCAATGTGAGGTCCTTGCGTGCGGACCTCCAATCGATGAGGCCAATTCAGATGTCCAAGCCATATGCATGCAAACGTGGCGCAAATTTCTGGGGCAGCGATTGCGTTTACGGAAAAGGGAGCACTTGTGACACAGATTGCATCTCACCTCACACACGTTCCGCGCCGGCGTGCTAGCATTTAAAGGCAGCGCCCAGGCAAATCTGGACGCTGCCTTTGAATGGATGGAGATTTTACGTGGAAAGTGGTTTTGGGGCCCTAACTAAGGCACTGCCCAAGCGGCAGCGCAGATGACTTACCAACGGCTGAGAAATATCTCTCAAAACTAGACTCCAGGATCGTATTCGCATGGATTCATGGCGCAACCCATCAGTTTCGCGCGAGGAACCCACGCAAGCGCCATGAATCCATGCGAACGATCCTGGAATCCAGTTTCGAGGGGATTATTTCAGCAGTGCACTACCTGAGCTGCCGGTTGGGCAGTGGCTTAGTTAGGGCCCTAAAATTACCATCCATGTGAGATTCCCATATGTTCAGATTTGCCTTCAAGCTGCTTTCAATTGGCGCGGAACATGTATGGAAAGAAATGAGAGAAATGTGAAGAGTGACTGAAGAATTTTGAGCGCTTTTGAGCTTTGAGCGCTTTCGAGCGACGTCTGGCCGAGTTATCCTCATAAGCCAATTCTTACCTCGATTTGGGGTTGTCGACGGGGAGCTAGCGGGATTCCAGACAGCTCTAGTTTTCCGAGGAAACTGTTGAATTTTGTCATGCCACGCTCCCCCTCAAAGATCTGGACGAGCGCCCCCAGTTGATTGTCTGCGTATGTGGTGAAGGTTTGGCTAATCCTAATAGGAATGTTAGAATTCCTTTTCACTATTGTTTTCATTATACCACCAGCGGTTTCGATGCCAAGCGAGAAAGGGATTGCGTCCAAAAGTAGCAAATCTTGTATAGTCCCATACTTGTCACCAGAAAGGATAGCGGCATGGATAGCTGCACCCTTAGCGATAGCTACATCAGGATCTAAAGATGTGTCTAGTTCTTTTCCACCATAAAGGTCAGAAAGCATATTGCGTATCTCCGGAATTCGCGTGGAGCCTCCGACAAGCACGATGTCATGAATCTGGGTCTTCTCCATCTTGGCATCTCTCAATGATCTCTCCACAGGATCCAGTAAGGATCGAAAAAGGTCTGCGCACAGCTCCTCGAAACATGAACGCGTGATGAAAGTGTAAAAGTCATTGCCATCGAAAAGTGAGTCAATTTCAACTGCCGCCCAAGATGCAGTGGAGAGTTTATGCTTCGCTTCCTCCGCTGCATGGCGAAGACGATAGAGGGCGCTAGGACTTGGATCTACTTTTATATTATGCGCGCGCTTGAATTCAGCGATAAGATGATTGACCAATCGACTGTCAAAGTCTCTTCCTCCAACAGGTTCACCCAGAGATGACTTCACTTCGAAAATCCCATCCTCAATTGTTACAACAGAGACATTGCAGCTGGCACCACCAAGGTCGAAGATGAGCACGTTGCGCTCTCCCACTCCCTTCTTGTCTACACCGTAAGCGATGGCCGCAGCTGAGGTTTCATTCACAATACGGAGGACGTTGAATCCTGACATCGTTGCTGCTTCTTTGATAATCTGACGTTGATAGTAGTTGAAAAATGCAGGGACTGTGATGACAGCATCCTGAGTTAGATTATGTTCGGAAAACTAGAAAATATCAAAACGTAACAAATCAACCAAAACCATAAAGTATTAGGTTGTCCCGAAAGTTTTCTCCGTTTTTTCAACCTATCATAAAAATACGTGGAACAAAGAAAGGGAAACGCTCTAAGCACTAGACACATCTTTTCCTCCTCTTTCTAACTGTCAAGCCCTCATGCCGATTACTCGTCTGCTCACTGAGATAAACGCCGAAATTTCGAACCCATGGTTTTAACTATGTCCAAGTTTGACAATTTTTCACAATCTTCATTTTCAACTTTTGGAAGACCTTTGATAGCCCTCAGATAGAATAAGCAAAGGACAATGCAATGCAATTAATTGGCATATCTAGCTGGCTTTTCAATATTTTTAAAAAAAATTTTTCATAAGTCTTCACTTTTGCGAAGCTTTAAAATACAGAAACGCCTCGAACACTAACAAATCATCGAATTTTGAAGCTTTCAAAAACCGATTACGATTATTCACTATTTTTACGAAGCAAATGAGCGTTTACCGCTTTGAAATGTAAGATTTTGCATTTTACGTGTACACGCTGGGATGGGGTCAAATTCAAGAATTATGAAAATTTTATCGCCAAAGACCCCGCAAATTGGAGAGAAAATACACTCACTGGAAAGAGGAGGAAAAGCTGAATCGAATAACATTAGTTGTGCGCCGTTTCACGATCTCTGGCTTTTGGCATCACCAAAAGTGGAATTTGATAGCATCAGAAAAATAATTCTAAAAAATCTTCAAAGCTGGCTATAGATGCCGCAAAATTGCATTATATTGCCCTTTTTTTGCTCTATCTAACTGTTGTCAAAGCTTTTCCGAAAGTCAAAAATAAAAATTGTGAAAAATTGCCAAACTTGAACATAGTAAAAACCATGGGTTCGAAATTTCGGCGTTTATCTCAGTGAACAAAAGATTAATTGGCACGAAAGCATGACAATTAGAAAGCGAAGGAAAAGATGTGTCGGATAGTGCTTAGGTCGTTTTCCTATCTTCGTTCCACGCGTTTTTATGATAGGTTGAAAAAACGGACAAAACTTTCGGGACAACCTAGTATTTACCAACCTTGACTGGTGATCTCAAGTAAGCCTCAGCCGTATCCTTCAGTTTCGTGAGAATCATGGATGAGATCTCCTCGGGAGTCAAGATCGTAACTTCTCCTTTGTAGTCGACTTGCACCTTGGACTTGGAGGCTGTTGAGATAATCTTGTACGACCAATGCCTAGTGTTCCGCTGTACTGCTATGTCATCAAATTTGCGCCCGATAAGTCGCTTAGCATCTAAAGGAAGACAAACATCTGATATGCTCAATGATAAATTTTCTGATCTCTATGTGTTAGGGAACGGCCATAGGTTGCCCGCAACGGTAGCGAGGTTGCCGGGGTTGTCAAAGTTGCCGGTCATTGCAGGACCTCACAATAGACTTCACGTTTCGTGCGCTCTAGCCCCAGTTATAGGCCGTCCGCGCAGGGCGCGGAGAGTGCGCAAGGTGTGCACTGCGCGCCACTCCTCTTTCTCTGTGCACTCTCGCCGCATGTTTTCTCTGCGCCTGTACTATCTTCACTGTACGCGACAGCGTTACTCTCCAAGCACAGCGCGGACGGCCTATCGATAACCCATAGCCGATCCGTAAGACACTGCTCAAGCGGCAGAGGTGCACTTGCGGCTGGGATATTCAACTCCAAAAGGACCCAGCTCCCATACGGCGCGCGACTTATATCGGTTTGCATGCTGTTGCGTGGGGGAGGACCCACCTCGCTCGCGGTGATTCCTCGGCTAAAGCATACAAACAGGTCCGCGCATCGACCACACGGACTGGCCATAGACTGCGGAGTACGCGCTGCGCGGGAGAACGTCCGGAAGGCGACAAATGACCTAGAACAGGCGCAGCCAGTGGCCACGCCCTGTCCGAGTTCCCCGTTGTTAGGATGCTCTGGATATTTGGATTGGGGCGCCTTTATACACATTGCGCATGGCTCTCTCAATCTCTGACTTCGTCGTTTGTTCTCTGGTTTTTTGGACGTTTTTGTTCGTGTATGTATATTATTGCTCATTGTGGTAATGTGATGATTTGCTTTCTTTTGTATTCGCCTCTCTGTGAGCATATGCTCTTCTGCCTTTTCTAAAAAGTTCTGTTTCAGGCTGCAGCAATATGCATGGTGCAATAAAAGATCATCCTAGTAAGGAGGTTAGTAGATATCTGCGTTCTTGAGTGATGTGATAGTTTTGTATCTTTCCATGGGTTAGGTATTTAGTTAACTATATCATTTATACGTTAATTAGTTTTTGTGCAGACCTCGTCCAAGTTGATGATGTCGAGCGGATAGAATGTGAGTAGAACTCCACTCAACAACGGTACTATAAGCCAGTTATATCAAGTAAAGGTGAGCTATTATTTTTTTGCATCTTCTTTACAATACGACTTTTCTTCAGGCTGAACATAGAAGAAGATTTTGAGCACTTTGAGCAAGGACGCATTCTGCGGTGGGATCTCGATGTTGAGACTGTTCGAGCACTTCAAATTTTTTATCTCAGCTGTCGCTTGCAATACACTGTAATGTGATAGTGATATAATAATCACTCTTTTTTCTGATTGTTAGCATCGCTGCCTTTTTTTCATTGAGTATAAAGATTTATCGTTCAAACTGTAAAACAGAAGAGCGCAGAAAAGCCGAGGAAAGGTCATAGAATTGATTATGGACAGAATGCGAGTATGCTAGCGGGTTGAGTAATTGGACAATTCTGGATTTCCGGCAAAAAGAGTTTGTATCTCTTCCACCGAAAGGGAGCTGATTTGCAACAGTATGATAGTTTTGATTTATCTGCGCGCCAGATGTACAAATTGCTATTGTGCAAGTCGTGCTCCTGTGATATTTCAGCCGCGCCGCGCCACTCCGCAATCCCTGTACCCGCGCGATCAAAGTCGTCCGTCAACACGGTAACGGAGAGTTGCTCAGCCACTGCCTACCATGATCCAGCATTGCTAGATGAGAAGGACATCAGCAAGCGAAAAAACAACGCACGCAAAGAATTTGAACGCCGGTATTTGGGATTTGAAAAATTGACTTTTACTGCACGAAAATGAAAGCAAGTATAAATTTGAAAACAAACAGCTCATGCAGAAGCGAAATCAATCCTCACCGAAAACCGTATTGTAAGGATTGTCTGCTGCTTGATTCTTTGCAGTTTCTCCTATGAGGAATCCGCTTTCAGTGAATGCAACACATGAAGGCATAGCACGATTTCCTGTTTATAAAACTTTTCGTTCTCAGTGAAATTTTGCAAGGAAACACAAACCTTGATCATCGGCAATGACCTCCACTCTGCCATTTCTGAATACGCCCATACGTGAAAATAAGGTGCCGAGATCAATTCCCACTGCACACTTTGATGGCATCTCCTCATATACCATACTTTGTAGACCTGCCTAAAGCAAGCTTCTTCAAACGTACTGCTCAATTCGGCGAGAAAAATTAGATACCCAAAGAGGCATTCTTCAGGAACTGCTCAGCTTTTCTTTGGACTGTCGGCAAGAAGACTGTGGAAGATCTGTAAGCAGCACTATTTATTTGCCATGTTGTTTTACGACTCTCATTTACATGCTTTTTACGGAAGCTTGGGCAGATCTGATTTAGTTTGTATCACTGACGGAGTTCGGGACCCTGCTTACTCCAAGATCGTGCCCCGTCGAGGATCTGCTTACTTTGGAAAATGCATGTGTAACCCGTTCCAAGACCAGGAGACTCAAGTGCGCCTTCCACACCTTCTTCAAACAGCCTGCTTCTCCAGTTACACACAAGTTTATACTTGTACATACTTTATCATTTTGGATTGTTCACTGACTAGACCAGTAAAGAACAAACTCAAGTGTTTGCAAAATGTGTGCAAAGCACCGTCTCCATATCAGAAAATCTATAGTATAAAGAATCACTCTATAACAGAAAATTAGCAACGTATTGATTAGCACTTTTTGCACCGGCCTTTAAATTCGTTGCGTGAGCCCGATTACCGTACCCCATTCCCTCTTGTATTTGATGAAAAAAAGGCGACTGACGCGCATAAACTGCAGATGCAATGTAGTCTCCATGGTCTAGTGGCTAAGGAGTGCGACTCTCAGCTGCCAGACTCGGGTTCGATTCCCCACTCAGGAATTCCTTTTTGCCACTAACGCTGGCTCCAAAAACACTGATTTCTCCACAGATCCTATGGTATAAAAAGAATTTGTGTCTCAAAATTCAAAGGTCCTCCACTTCAAGGATATATTTCGCTCCCAAAATGAACGAAATATAAAAATGTAAAAGCATTTTTGCTTAAGAGCTTGTTGTCTTCTTTTTATTGGTACCATTCTCTCCGACCCATCTTTACTGGTTCGTAATATAAGCGCTCAAAGTTAACGTATCGGTTAGAAGCGCTGCTGCTTCTTGAACGATATCTTTCGTGGTTCTGATAACCACTCAGATAATCGCGGGGGGCGGGCGGCAATGCGAATTTTGAGCAAGCGGGCACCGGAAAAATAGTTCGCTGATTTCTTGCGGCCTGCTTGCAATTTGGAGGAATGTTGACTACTTTTCAGATGAATGCTCGGAAAACTATTGCGGTTTTCCCGCAGTTTAGTTGCGGCGCATTGACCGCATTCTCGCGGACTTTCTGCGAATATGCAAATTTATTGAGGGCCGCGCGGTCCTTTGTAGAGAATCGCACAGCCCTCAAGTACTTTCCGCTAAGAGAAAGTACCTCAAACTTGAGTGATTAAACCATCAATGACACCTCTGCAGCATAGAGTCTCACATTTGCTCGATGTACGCCCGAAACTGCTTAAAAAGAGACCAAGCGCCTGCTGAAAGTTTGGCCAGCACTCACTGAAATAGATTAATGAGGAGCCCCGCAAAAAACTGTATTCTGCCCCGCTAGCAAGACATTCGACAGTAAAAGAGGTGCCGCGCGCTGAAGGTTTGGCCACGCCCCAAAATTCTGCTGACCGCCTGCAAGAAAACGCGAGTTTGCGGACCGCCTGTCCCGGCGATTATCTGAGTACTTGCGGGGAAGTTCGAACGGTGCTATCCTTGTGTCCGCGGCCCAGAATTTCAAAGTCGTGAGTTTGGCTGAGATTTGGTCGATGGGGATCACAAATATTACATTCTTTTTTCACAAAAACGCCACTTGGTGGGGCAACGGTGGGTATAAGTAGAAGGGTCAGCTCTGTTTTGGCTGAAATTTGGTCTAGGGGGTTTTCTGAGGTGCTAATCACGAATACCATATTCTTTCTGCATTCTGCGGCGGGCTTAGTCTTCCAGAATCCTTCGAACCAACGTACGCCGGGCCCTGCGGTTTTGGCACGAAAAACGAGGGGGACGCTGTGAGCATACTGATTAGAAGTACATTGAAGGGGGAGGAGGATACTGTGACTTTCTTCAAGTAAGCTTTTGAGAAAAGGGGGTTTTGCAGACGGGACAGTTCCTTGAATAACGAAGAAAGAGTGGACAACTTCACTGTGGATTTTTAGAGGGAAAAGCTTAGTGCATTTTGGCTAAGAAACTGGGAAAGGAGAACTGATATTTTGAGGCTAGAGTGTTGAGGAAATTAAGATCTGTGGAAGACAGCCTTTCGCATGGGCGGTCTCCAGCGCTATCGTTCGTTCGCTTTCGCTAGAGTGGGCGGACCACTGCAGACATGACATGACATGTAATCGGTCGATAAACCTCCATCCTAGAGCATTGTTTTTTGTACTCTCTCGCCATCCAAAGCCGCCGCGCGTGTACGTAGACAGTGCTCCGCCCACTCTAGCGAAAGCGAGCAAACGATATCTTAATTTTGACTTGTCTTAACACGTCAGCACGCCGCAAATCTTTCTTCCGCCTGCTTTGCTTAGGCAAAAGCCGCCGCATGTTCCGCGCGCGGCGTGGTCCTGTGTGGAAAGCAGAAAGGACGCGAATCGTCCTCACCCTCCTCTAATGCTTTGACGGAAAAAGCTGCTAACGCTTTGAGAAAATTTTACACCGAAAAGAACTACAATATATCAGCTAAGAGAAGCCACAGAAAAGAGAGCTACGTGAATGATGCTATACGAGAGAGTCTAGAGAAAAAGCGCGAGCTGTAAGGTGTGCATTTCAGTTTTGGAGAATGAGCTTTACTAAACGCGACATCTTTCTTGACTCCAAACGTTCTTCTGCAAGCAGTCGTACTTTCGTCATTAAAACTACCATGCGCACCATGCCTCCCCAGCAGAACTTTTCAATCAAAACATTACTAGATGAAGTTTATTAGCTTTTACGGCATTGAAAAAGTGTTATACGAGGCTTTGATGACTCAATACAACATTTCTCACACCTGCTAGCTATTGGGCCGCTAGTCTAATATATAAAGAAACGTAATCGCAATTCAAAAATGTGCAAATAGCGGGGAACCGCATGGCGGTTCCGAAGCGAACGCTTTTCCAGATAACACCTTTCGATTACTGGTTCACCAGTTGTAGTGTTCGATAAGCACGTGAAGTGCTGTATTGACGTGATTCGGACAAGGACAGTTTGGTAGGTGAAGTTTTTCTTTCTTTAAGACGTGAATTCGGAGAAGAAATGCACAGAAATGAGCGAAGGGCGTCACTCTCAGAATGCGCTAGGAGGCATAATACATAGTATGCGTCAGCCAGTGGCGGACGAGGGGGGGGAGGCCCCCCCCCCCGAGAATGGGTCGCGAAATTTTTGAAACTTACCTATATGGGTTATATCGCGGATCGCGATGCAACTGAGCAAGATATTGCATGAGAGCATACGATGACCCCTCAGTATCAGCTGAGACGTTCACGGATCGCAATGCTTGCTAAATAAAAAAGCTAGTTGCGGAATGCCAAGGAATGAATCCACGATGCCAGATGCGACATTCCCTTCGACAAAAATACCTCGGTCCACAGATAAAAACGACTGCAGCTGCGGAAGGAACGATGGAGCCAGCAAGCGAACGTCTATATATGCTTAGTCATTATTACTCAAGCATTTTCCATCACTTACACTCATTACTTGTGTTGCCTTATCATCCGCTCATTCCTTGTATGTAGGATAGCACATTTAACACTCCTATCGTATGTTTTCTATCTCCTCTTGTACAATTCTTACGAGTAGTCCAAATTCACAGGATATCCAAGATAGCATTTTGGTTTGACTTACATCGTAGCTCCAACTATTTGTTAGCAATTTTCATCACTTTTTCATGATCATTTGCTTCGTTGTTTACTTGTGTGTATATATCAAGCAGAATGACGGGTTTAATTACCCAAGTTTGAGGTAATCGACAATAAACGTGTGTCATTCGTGTGGTGGTTGGTGTGGTTCATTTGGCAAGGCTGTGGCAACCTTTTTAGGTTAGAAAAATGTGCAAACGACTTGTTTATTTTTGTAAATAATTAAAATATTTTCAAGATTTTTCAAAAATTCAAATTAGCCTTATAAAAAAAATTTTCGCGGGCGTGGCGTAAGCCACGCCCCCTTTTTCCAGATTTTAGGGGTTGGGGGCCCGCAGAAATTTTGAGAACCACCCCAAAAATTTTTTCGGAGTGCGTGGCGTTAGCCTTCATCTGAAAAAAATTTTTGTCGCGCCCCCACCGGTCCGAAATCCTGCGACCGCCACTGGAGTCAGCACGCGTTCTACTGATCCCCAAAGGCACTCGGGCTCTTGCCCGAGTAACATCCCTGAATGTATGCATCGCAGGTGCGGGCGCCCGTGCCCGATTGGGTAAGGACCCGGGCGGGAACCCCTTCCCGAGAGGGAGAGGTACATACCGGCTCTGATCACAGTCTTCTGGGAAACCTCTGCAGAACAGATTAGAGAAGGTTCCTGCGAAAAAGTGGGAAATCGCCGTTGGCGGGCCGCCGGAGCTTTTCCAACTGCCCGATAACACCAACTTTCTGAGAAGGGCAACCAGTAACCGAACATATCAAACGCTTTTTAAAGGAACATCGGCAGAAGACTGATTAGAAGACAAGTCATCGCTAAAATTCACTACAATAGCCAGAAGTTACAAATATGTGGGAACCTCAGTGGGTCATCAAACTGTAAGGCAATATCAACATATGAGCAAATTTAGTGACATTCAGACATACTGGTAAAGGTCAAAGCAACCTGAAATGAGATGCAAAACTGATATGAAATTGTAACATGCAATATAAATGGGCGATTGAAAAGCAGCAGTCAATGAGTGTCGATTCATCAGTTTCTACGATCAACTAAACATTTTCGAGATCAGATCCAGCAAAATTTCTGTCATACAGAACCAAAGCGTCGTTTTCTTCTGATGCAACATAATTATAGGGATTATCTGATGATGTCAGTAAAACAGTCATCTTATTCTGCCTGCCAGAAGATTTGTCCCAAACGGAAACGCAGAGAATACCGTTGGAGTCGATATCAAAAGTGACCTGTGTATCATACACATATGACCCAACCTTTATCGTCGTAACTCTATTCCTACCTCGATTTGGGGTTGTCGACGAGGTGCTAGTGGAATTCCAGACAGCTCTAGTTTTCCAAGGAAATTGTTGTCTCTGATTAGGGCACGCTCCCCCTCAAAAATCTGGACGAGTGCCCTCGATTGATCGTCTGCGTTTGTGGTGAAAGTTTGGCTAATCCGAATAGGAATGTTAGAATTCCTTTTCACTATGGTAGTCATTACACCTCCAGCGGTTCCGATACCAAGCGAGAAAGGAGTTGCATCCAAAAGTAATAGATCTTGTATCGTCTTAGATTCATCACCAAAAAGGACAGCGGCTTGGATGGCTGCACCTTGTGCGGTAGCCACATCAGGATCCAAGGACGTGTCCAAGTCTTTGCCAAAAAAGTCGGAAAGCAGTTTGCGTATCTTCGGAATTCGGCTGGAGCCTCCGACGAGCACGATGTCGTGAATCTGGGTCTTCTCCATCTTGGCATCTCTCAATGCTCTCTCCACGGGATCCAATATGGATCGAAAAAGGTCTCCGCACAGCTCCTCGAAACGTGCACAAGTGATGAAAGTGTGGAAGTCATGGCCATCGAAAAGTGAGTCGATTTCGATTACAGCCTCACTTAAGATTGTTAGTTTGCGCTTCGCTTTCTCTGCAGCACAGCGAAGACGATGGACGGCGCTAGGACTTGAATCTACTTCCACTTTATACCTGCGCTTGAATTCGGCGATAAGGTAATTGACCAGTCGATTGTCAAAGTCTACTCCTCCAAAATGTTCACCAACAGATGACTTCACTTCGAAAATCCCATCTTCCATTGTTATAACAGAAACATTGCAACTGCCACCACCAAGGTCGAGAAAGACCACATTGCGCTCTCCCAATCCTTTCTTGTCGATGCCGTAGCCAACGGCCGCAGCAGTGATGTCGTTGATTATGCGGAGAACGTTGAAGCCTGATATCGTTGCTGCTTCTTTGATAATCTGACGTTGATAGTAGTTGAAGTACGCAGGAACTGTGATGACAGCATCCTGAGTTAGATTATGTTCAGTAAGGCTGAAAATATCAAAACGTGGCAAATTAACCTAAACCATAAAGTATTTACCAACCTTGACCGGCGATCTCAAGTAAGCCTCTGCCGCATCCTTCAGCTTCGTGAGAATCATGGATGAGATCTCCTCGGGAGTCAAGATCGTAACTTCTCTCTTGTAGTCGACTTGCACCTTGGGCTTCGAGGCTGCTGAGATAATTTTGTATGGCCAATATTTAGTGTTCCGCTGTACTGCTATGTCATCGAATTTGCGCCCGATGAGTCGCTTAGCATCTAAAGGAAAGAAACATCTGATAAGCTCAATAATACATTTTCTGTTCTCTATGTGTTATGCGCTCTTCTCAATACGTCGCGAGAATTTCATCGGTTTGCATGCTGTTGCGTGGGGGAGGACCCACCTCGCTCGCGGTGAGTCCTCGGCAAAAGCATACAAACAGGTTCGCCGCATCGTCGACCACACGGACTGGCCATAGATTGCGGAGCACGCGTTGCGCGCCAGATGTACAAACTGCTATTGTGCAAGTCGTGCTCTTGTGACATTTGAGCCGCGCCGCGCTGCTCCGCAATCCATACATCCGGCCCGCGCGATAAAAGTCGTCCGTCAAATACGGCAACACAGTTGCCTAACCACTGCCTACAATGATCTAGCACTGCTAAATAAGAAGGAAATCAGCAAGCGGAGAAAAACGTGCGCAAGAATTTGAACACCGGTATTTGGGATTTGGAGAATTGACTTTTACTGCACGAAAATGAAAGCAAATATGAATTTAACAGCAAACAGCTCATGCAAAAGCGAAATCAATTCTCACCGAAAACCGTATTGTAAGGATTGTCTGCTGCTTGATTCTTGGCAGTTTCTCCTATGAGGAATCCGCTTTCAGTGAATGCAACACATGAAGGCATAGCACGATTCCCTGTTTATAAAACTTTTCGTTCTGAATGAAAGTTTGCAAGGAAAGACAAACCTTGATCATCGGCAATGATCTCCACTCTGCCATTTCTGAATACGCCCATACGTGAAAATAAGGTGCCAAGATCAATTCCCACTGCACACTTTGATGGCATCTCCTCATATACCATACTTTGTAGACCTGCCTGAAGCAAGCTTCTTCAAACGTACTGCTCAATTCGGCCAGAGAAAAATTAGGTACCCAAAGAGGCATTTTTCAGGAACTGCTCAGCTTTTCTATGTACTGTCGGCAAGAAGGCTGTGGAAGATCTGTAAGTAACACTATCTATTTGCCATGTTGTAGCATGACTCTCATTTACATGCTTTTTACGGAAGCTTGGGCAGATCTGATTTAATTTGTATCACTGACGGAGTTCGGGACCCTGCTTACTCCAAGATCGTGCCCCGTCGAGGATCTGCTTCCTTTGAAAACGCATGTGTAGCCCGTTCTAAGACCAGGAGACTCAAGTGCGCCTTCCACACATTGTTCAAACAGCTTGCTTCTGTAGTTACACCCAAGTTTATGCTTGTACAGTCGAGTAGATTTCCTGCTTAATATAGTGTCCCTGCAGACGCGACAACGCTGGGGCGTCAATAAATGCCTTGCGAGTTCCCGAGCTAGTGGTTTCCAGTGTTTTCTTTGCTTTTTTCATGCTTTTTAGTCGATTCGTTGCTGACAAAGAGGAAAAGGGTAAGTTAAAAGTAGTTTCTGTTTTCTGAGAAGCTCTATCATCGCATATTCACAGATATCCACGTGGAAGCATTTCGCGTCAGCTTCTTATCTATTTTTTTTGTCATTTCCTTTTCTTCTGTCACTTCTTCTTTCAAACCTCCTCCTTCTTGTGAGGCATTTCTATGAACGCTAGTTGGCTTGTTTTGCAGCAACTTCGGCTTTCATCCATAAGAAATAGCATTCTAATCAAGTACTTAATGTGATAAAGACAATAAGTCAATCGTAAAAACCCACTAGCGTTCAAAGAAGTACCTCACAAGAAGAAAGAGACATGAAGTGACAAGAAAATAGACAAGAAGCTGACTCGAACTGCTTCCACGTGGATATCTGTGAATATGCGATGATAAAACTTCTCGAAAACAGAAACTACTCTCTAACTTACCCTTTTCTTCTTTATCAGCAACGAATCACCTAAAAAGCATAGAATACGCAAAGAAAACATTGGAAAACACTAGCTCGGGAACTGGTCAGGCAATTATTGACGCCCCAGCGTCGTCGCGTCTGCAGGGACACTATATTAAGCAGAAAATCTACTGTACTTTATAATTTGGATTGTTCACTTAGTGGACCAGTAAAGAACAAATTCAAGTGTTTGCAAAATGTGTGCAAAGCACCGTCTCCATATCAGAAAATCCTATGTCTAACTTGGAGTAAGCGCGATTCGAACAACTCGGCTCCCGTGCTGCCGTCTCCCTGGATCCCGACCGCTTCGCGAACATATCTGATCATTCCCTCACGCTTGAACGTGGGAAAGAGCTCTACGAAAATGATCAACGCAGCGCAGGTTCCAGGAGATGGCCGCGCGGGACGCTCGATTCGCCTCCTCCGAATGAGACAGAGAGCATAGTGGAGTCATCTGCAACTCAATATAAGTTCTGCACGTCCGCGCATCTCGTAACCTGCTTGCTTGCAATTTGCCTACTCCAAAGAATCATTCTCTTCATTCCCTCTTTCTATAGGATATCATTCATTCTAGGACTAAAAGACGCGAGACCGCATTGCACACATTGTCTAAACAAGCTTAGTATGTACTCAACAGGTTTGTACTTATTACTTATCTCGTCCAAGTTTATTCACTCTTTGGAAACAGGAAAGAACAAACTCAAACTTCTTAAGGCAATGCCCGCAATACGGTCACGCGTCTCCTGGTCATAGAATAGATGATACATACCTATCGTCGATTCATGACACGCAAAGACTGGGCGTCGTTGCGTCTGACCGAAATAGCTTGTGCATAGGAGAGACAGCAGATGGCAAGAGAACCGAAACAGCGCCTGATCACGGAGACGCTGATAGGTCCGGGGGGCGTATCGTTACGTGCGGCCTTCAAATTGGAAAACGTCGAGCGCGACAGGCTGCCAGTGACCAGACTCGGGAAATTCAGCAAGCATGATCCGCAGCACATAGTATTTCAGTTTCTCATCCTTTGTTGAGGTTCACAGACGATTCTCTATTAGTTTTGCTTAGTTATTTGAAGTTTTGCCGTAAAAGTTGTAAAATGAGCACTTTGAAGGATAAAGAAGACACAAATTGAAGAAGGTAAAATACTAACAATATAGGAGAAGCATCGGTAATGTAGCGGTATAAATCTGACAAGTTTTCTGCACCTGCTTCTCGCGCGCGGTTACTTTAACGCCACATTGCGACGTTTTCCATTTGGCAGACCGCACGTAACGAGCGCCCCCATAGGTCCGCAGTCTTTGCGTGTATGAATCGCCTATATGTATCCTGTGTCCCCCAGAAAAGTTCCCATGTGAGCCAGCGTGCGTACGTGGTGCGACGCTGCCTTTCGCTCTTTTTGACACGTTTCTCCTGAGATTTCAACGGAACTGCCCAAGGTTAACACGTTCCAATTAGCGAAAGGCAGCGATTTGACGTGGTACCTATGGCTTTGGCCATACTTTGCTCATGTTGCCGATGTTACCAGTGTTACTCGTGTTACTCGTGTTGCCGATGTTTCCAGTGTTACTCGTGTTACCACCTTTATTGCTGTTGATTCTCGAAATGATCGCCAGTACAGTTTCATTCTTGAACGCAGTCTCACTGAGTGGTGAGTATACAGGACCTGAGGCAATCATACTGCAATAATAATACCATGCTAGAAACCTGCTTCAAAAAAGTTCTTTTTCTTTTTTCTTTCACTTTTTTTAGTTTCAGTTTCAAAGGTTTTTTTTTCAAGGAAGGGAATGTGCTCCCTTCTCACATACGGCCGCGAAAATGATGACACGTCCGAGGGCAAGGTTTCTTGAAGTTCGATCAAGGCCTTCAAAACGTAGCCAGTACGTTAGAGCTCATTGCCCTACTGATCAAACAATATGGTTATATTTGTGTCACAAAAACTTTTCGAAGCAAGTTTCTAGCATGTATTATTATTGCAGTATGATTGCCTCAGGTCCTGTATACTCACCACTCAGTGAGACTGCGTTCAAGAATGAAACTGTACTGGCGATCATTTCGAGAATCAACAGGAACAATCAATAAAGGTGGTAACACGAGTAACACTGGAAACATCGGCAACACCGGTAACACTGGTAACATCGGCAACACGGGCAAAGTATGGCCAAAGCCTATGGGAAATTTGCTGGGGAATAAACGATATGGTTTGTCCATTAGGAACTTTCCCGTACAGGCCTCTAACGGCAACAGGTGCACGTAGCGCACCCGCAACGACACGCACACGAGCTAGCATCTTGCTCAGGAATGATGGGTCGAAAGCTGTTATGGTTTTTGAGCTTGTTTCTCATTCTCGACAATTAGGAGCTATGACTGTTATCTGTTTACTATTATAGCTGAGAAACCAGCCCACATGTATCGTCCCTTCCACATTTGCTGCTACCTTTCTGGCGTCGCGGACGTGCCACGTGTAACTAACACGTTGGCATTGTTGGCAGCAAGACGTTGGCAACATGCAGAAACATGTTGACTTGGCCAAAATGTGCCAACATTGGCATGTTGCAAACATGTTGTTCCCCCTTGCCATCATGTTAGCCACACTTGGCAGGTCTGAGACGCAGACCAAGGGTAGCACGAGCGAGCTGTGGAGGGGACTATAAGTGCACTGCGCAGCCTGTTGCCGTTGGACGCATATAACTCGTCAGCTCGGTATCTTTCGATTCTGACATGTTCACTTTGAGAAAATGCCTTGACTGTTGAAGTTAGCATGTTAAAGGGTTCCTTCATACTACGCCCCAAGAAGCAGCAGCCTGCCGCAACGCGCCGCTGCAGTCGAAAATAGCTTGCGGCAACACAGCTTCGCCGGTTGTGGATGATCTCTGTACTTGTTGCACGTTCGTGTTCTCCGAAAGTGTTCCCTCACAGCATGAATCCTTTCTCTCCTTTACTTTGTCTCTCGTTGAGCGAAGGTTGATTGAATGATTCTTCATTCAAGTTGAATTTGTAGGATCCCTCGATTCCACCAAACTTATTTCGCTCCAGTTTGTTCGTATCAACGACTTCAGTACGCTACTTTGTATATTTTTACTCACGAGGTACTAGCTTTTTGCAATTTTGTTTCATCAGATTTGACATGCATCACAGAGTTCGCAGATTTCTATTGCATGCAGATTCTGCGACAAGATCCGGCTGTGCTGCTGTGAGCGTATTTTCACTGCCCGCAGGACGCGGCGTGCTGCGGCGTAGTATGAAGGAACTCAAAAAGAGCGAAAGGCAGCGAGCTGGTACTCATGGGAACATTTTTGGGGACCGATAATGACTGCAATGCGTAGGTTTTCTTTTCTAACGAAATACATTGAAGCAGTAATGTTTATTAGCGAATAAAGGGACTGTTCGGAAAGTGAAGACCCCATCTTGAGTCACTAATGACTCTGACTACCGACAATAACTCAATTCATAATGTCTCGCATTCAAATAAACATTGAGGAATAGGTAGTGAAGCGACATGGTTGTCAAGCACAGTCATCTTTTTCCATCCTTGTCGACTACTCGTCATCCGCTCTACTATCCATTCCTCAATGCATTCTGAGTAGCCTAATAGCTAAACATTGAAGTGGACTACAACGAAAGCAGAAAATTGCTTGAGGCGTAAAATTGCAAGCAGTGGCTGTGATATGCGAGAAAGCACGTTTTATTTTACGCTTCAATTGGTCGGCTTTGTTCCGATGGAATGCGTGGTTAGAGTTTGTTACGCAAAACTAGAACATCGTTTTCTCTTGACGCAACATATTTATAGGGATCATCTGATGATGTAAGTAAAACGGTCATCTTATTCTGCCTGCCAGTAGATTTGTCTTGGGCGGTGACGCAGAGAATACCGTTGGAGTCGATATCAAAGGTGACCTGACACAGACACATTTAATCAAACTTTTATAGTCGCAGTCTTTTATCGGTTCTTACCTCGATTTGGGGAGGAGGTGTTGGCGAAATTCCAACCAGCTCTAGTTTTCCAAGAAATTTGTTGTCTTTGACCATAGCACGCTCCCCCTCGAAAATTTGAATGAGCACCCTGAGTTGCTTGTCAGAGTGAGTGGTGAAAGTTTGGTTAGTCCGAATAGGAATGTTTTTATTGCTTTTCACTGTTTTATTCATTATATCTCCTCCAATGAAAGTCCGACTAGCCCTGGTAGGAATGGTAGTGTTTCTTTTGATGATTGCAGTCATTACACCACCAGCGGTTTCGATGCCAAGCGAGAAAGGGGTCGCATCCAGAAGCAGCAAATCCCGTATTGTCGCAGACTTGTCACCAGAAAGGAAAGCGGCATGGATAGCTGCACCCTGAGTGGCAGCCACATCAGGATTCAAAGATATGTCCAGTTTTTCTTCACCAAAAAAGTCAGAGAGTAGCTTGCGTATCTTCGGAATTCGGCTGGAGCCTCCGATAAGCACGATGTCATGAATCCGCTTCTTCTCCATTTTGGCGTATCGTAATGATCTCTCCACAAGGTCCATTATCGATCGGAAAAGGTCTGCGCATACCTCCTCGAAATGTGCACGAGTGATGAAAGTGTAGAAGTCCTGGCCATCGAAAAGTGAGTCGATTTCAATTGCAGCCTGACTTGAGATTGAGAGTTTGCGCTTCGCTTTCTCTGCAGCACAGCGAAGACGATGGACGGCACTGGAGCTCTCTATTTTCATTTTATACATGCGCTTGAATTCGTCGAAAAGGTGATTGACCAGTCGATTGTCGAAGTCTATTCCTCCAAAGTGTTCACCCAGAGATGACTTCACTTCGAAAATCCCATCCTGGACTGTCACAATGGAGACACTGCAATTTGCAGCACCAAGATCGAAGATGAGCACGTTGCGCTCTCCCAGTCCCATCTTGTCGATGCCGTAGGCTATGGCCGCAGCAGTGGTTTCGTTGATTATGCGGAGAACGTTGAATCCTGATACCGTTGCTACTTCTTTGATGATTTGACGTTGATAATAGTTGAAGGATGCGGGGACTGTGATGACAGCATCCTAAAATAGAATATGTTTGGTTGTAGCGGGGATTTAGAAAAAGGTTAAATCAATCAAATCCATCAACTATACTTGCTTTGACTCGCAATCTCAAGTAAGCCTCAGCCATATCTTTCAGCTTCGTGAGAATCATGGATGAGATCTCCTCGGGGGTCAAGGTCATTAGTTCTCCTTTGTAGTATACTTGCACATTGGGCTTGGAAGCTTTCGTCGGGAAGACTTCATATGGCCAATTGTCCAGATTTCGTTGTACTTCCACGTCATTGAATTTGCGCCCAATGAGTCGCTTAGCATCTGAAGGGGGATGTACGTATAAACCTTGTACAGTAAGTTTCAACTCAGTTTAGGCGGAAATTGGACTGGCGGGAATCCGTTCGCAACAACTCGCGTCCTTTGCAGTCTGCGTCTCTTCATTCTGATCTTTCACGCTGAGCCAGTGGCGGTGCGGACGCGCTGCTCCATTTGGAATGTTTCGCCTTTTCCGGGTTGAAAAAGACTATAAATAGAACCTAATTGCGCGCGCCGTGCCAACGCCAGCATAGGGGTCGTCCCGAGGCACTATAGGCGCTCTCATTTACGCATGAATTTTGTGGCCAACAGCCATGTTGTTTTCAGCGTTGCACATATTTCAGCCAAAGTCTTTGAAAGCTCATAAAAATAAGTCTAAATGAGGTGCGCGCTCATTATCGTTTGTGAATAGCCTACACCGCGTCTTCAGCCGCTCCGCGCCTTGGTGTTCAAAGTCTAGCGCGGGCAGTTGCATTTTGCAAGGCCTACATCTGTTACTCTTACCATCATCTGATAGACTCATTAACTCCACTTCTGCTAGAATTATCGGCTCCTTAGACTGGTACATGCCAAGAGACCTACAGCTTTTTTCGTATGAATTATTTGATGCTGTCACTTGTGCGAAGGTAGCAGCCTCTTGCGTTCACTACATTTCAATAAAAGTAAAGGTTTGTTACAAGCTGGCCATGTATGATGTAAGAAATTGGCTACAGCCTTAACAATATTCTACGACTGCCCTGCAGGTAACGAAGAGAACGTCAGCAAGCAGAAAAACAACGCACTCAAAAAATTATAGGCCCATCTGAGATTCAGGGAACTGACTACTAAACGGCCGTCAAATGAAGGCACCTAGACAATTGCATTGAGAAGTTCGCGGGTCTTACCCGATCAACAGTCATCCATGCCGCGAGCTACCCGGTAAGCCGATATTGGAACCGATAAGTGATCGTCGGCGCATTTTGTAAGTGCCCGTTGAAGGCAGTGTCCGGGCAAAAAGTCGATTTTGAGATTTTGTGCTTACCCTACTCGCCATGCTGAATCCGAAAATCCACACTGGAAAGCGCAAAAACTGCAAAAAAGGATTCTAACACAGGAGTGAAATCAAAAGTGGGCGGGGTCCTCCCCACGGTAAATTCACGGTCCGTTCCGGAGCGATCTTTTTAATTCCGCTAACCGTCCTGACATCTCCACAGACCAAGTGCGAACGCATGATCTGAATTCGGAAGCGAGAAGATCGCTCCGGAAGCTGGGACCATGAATTCACCGTGGGCAAGACCCCGGCCACTTGCTGATTTCCCTCCAGTATTAGAGCCCTTTTTCGTCGTTTTCACGCTTTCCAGTGTGGATTTTTGGATTCAGCATAGCGAATAGGCGCCAGTAAGCACAAAATCTCAAATCGACTTTTTGCCTTTAAAGGCAGTGTCCGGGCAAAAAGTCATTCGTTCCGGGCAAAAAGTCATTCGTTTGCACTTGATCGGTAATGATGTCAGGGCGGCTAACGGATTCGAGAAGATTGCTCTGGAAGCTGGAAGCATGAATTCACAGTGGGGAAGACCCCGCCCACTTGCTGATTTCCCTCCAGTGTTAGAGCCCTTTTTCGTCGTTTTCGCGCTCTATCATCGGGTTCAGCATAGCGAATAGGCCCGGGTAAGCATAAAATCTCAAAATCGAGTTTTTGCCCGGACACTGCCTTTAAAGGCAGTGTCCGGGCAAAAACTCGATTTTGAGATTTTGTGCTTATACGGGCCTATTCGCCATGCTGAATCCGAAAATCCACATTGAAAAGCGCGAAAACGACGAAAAAGGGCGCTAACACAGGAGGGAAATCAGCAGGTGGGCGGGGCTTTCCCCAATGCGATTTCACTCTCCCAGCTCCCGGAACGATTTTCTTGATTCCGCCGGCCGTTCTAACATCGCTACCGGCCAAGTGCGAATGATTGACTTAAAACCGGAAGCGAGAAGGTCGCTCCGGAAGCCGAGAACGTGAATTCGCAGTGGGGAGGACCCCGCCCACCTGCTGATTTCCCTCCTGTGTTAGAGCCCTTTTTCGTTGTTTTCGCGCTCTCCAATGTGGATTTTCGGATTCAGCGTAGCGAATAGGCCCAAGTAAGCACAAAATCTCAAAATCGAGTTTTTGCCCGGACACTGCCTTTAAAGGCAGTGTCCGGGCAAAAACTCGATCTTGAGATTTTTTACTTACCCGGGCCTATTCGCTACGCTGAATCCGAAAATGCACATTGGAGATCACGAAAACGGCAAAAAACCGCTCTAACACGGGAGGGAAATCAGCAGGTGGGCGGGGTCCTCCCCAGAGTTGCGATAGTCGGAGCCGAGTCTCCGCCTACCTTCACTTTTGAGCTGGTACGGGGTGACCACCTTCACTTTTGGGTATGAAAAAATTTTTTGCTGAAGCTTAAAAGAAGGAAAATGAGAAAGTGGAACGCAAAAAAAAGTATTAAGAGCATATATCTATGTAGTAAGTCAATCTAGGCAGTAACCGCCGAGAACCAGAATTTCGAATGATAAAATAGCGAAAAAATCATGCGAAATTTCCACTGTTATAAATCTGGTGGTTGAAGATGTCAGCAATTGCGACTTCATAGGTTTTGAAGGGCAAGTGTTGTTCTACCAGACAGTGAAAGAATCAGGTCAATCTGAGCAGTGACCGCCGAGAACGAGGATTTTAAAAAATTAAGCGATTTTAGGTTACTTAGTGACAGCTGACGTTCAGACTCCTATAAATCTGGAATGTGAATTTGTGCAATGTTGCGCTTCATAGGTTTTGTAGAGTAAGAATTGCTCTATCGAACTATGCCTTAGCCGTACCGATCCACTAAGATAACGCCGAGAGTCAGGCTCTTAAAAAAACAGGTAAAAAACCTCTCTTTGAATTTCAACAGCTCATAACATCTTCAGCATTGCATGAATCATGTTGCGACTTCATAGGTTAGATTCTTCTCATCAAAAGCTTTCAGATGATATATAATATGTGGGGGTTTCGCGCCTCTCACGGCATATGCCCGGGGGTGGAGACTTTTCACCCCAAAGTCTCCACTGGCGGTCTCCGGCCAATACATTAACATGGGCGAGGTGGAGACTTTGGGGTGAAAAGTCTTCACCCTGGGTTAGAGCCGCAAAAATCATTGAACCCCCCACATATTATATACAGTCTGAAAGCTCTTGATGAGAAGAATCTAACCTATGAAGTCGCAACATGATTCATGCAATTCTGAAGAAGTTATGAGCTGTTGAAGTTCAAAAAGCGGTTTTTTACCTGTTTCTTTAAGAGCCTGACTCTCGGCGTTATCTTAGTGGATCGGTACGGCTAAGGCAGAGTCCGATGGAGCAATTCTTACTCTACAAAACCTATGAAGTCGCAACATTGCACAAATTCACATTCCAGATTTATAGGAGTCTGAACGTCAGCTGTCACTAAGTAACCTAAAATCGCTTAATTTTTTAAAATCCTCGTTCTCGGCGGTCACTGCTGAAATCAAACTGATTGTTTCACTATCTCGTAGAACAACACTTGCCCTCTAAAACCTATGAAGTCGCAATTGTTGACATCTTCAACCGCAATATTTATGAAAGTAGAAATTTCGCATAATTTATCGTTATTTTATTATTCAAAATTCTGGTTCTCGGCGGTTACTGCCTGGATCGACCTACTTCCTTCGCAGTGCGTTATAACAAAATTTACTTGATAAAATCTGTGAAGTCTCGCTGACTCTCACTTCAAAACACACCATTTATTAAACACGTTTGTTTTAAATATACATATATGCCGCCGTATACATAAAAATATGCTTTCAATAATCTTTTTTTTGCGTTTGTTTTGCTTATTTTCCGAGCACTGTCGGCAACGACCTGGGAGGATAGGCTCAGTCGACGTTAACCCCCCCCCCCCCGGTCGACGTTTTTGGGAGGTGAGTGTTCGGCACTACCACCTTCACTTTTGGCCGGCCAGTGGTAGCTGGAACCACCTTCACTTTTGAGGGGCCCGGCTCCACCTATCGCACCTCTGGTAATCCCCACTGTGAATTCGCGCTCCCAGCTTCCAGAGCGATCTTTTCGGTTCCGATTTCAAGTCAGGCATTCGGGGTGTATGTCAAGAGGCGCGATTCTTATTGCCAGTTGGGCAGCCTATAGCAGATCTTTAGTGTTTTACAAAGTTCTGAAAACATTTGAAAACTCAGACGAAATATTTTTGATAATCGCACGGGTTGCTCCATCTTATCATCCTGAAATCGATTCCAAACAAAATTGTTGAAGGTCAAAAACCCCTGAAAATGCAGTTAATAGCAATTTTGTAAATAATCCGGTCAGTTTTCTAGCAGAAGTCGTCAAACTTATCAACTGGTTACTTCAAACAGTTAGTAAGCCATGGAATTTGTCCGGCACTTTTTAAACCCTCCCATAGCCCAAAACTGGAGTTTTAAGTTGGTGACAGCCAGAAAAATCGCGCCTCTTGACCGTCTCCCAGGCATTCGCACCTGGCCGGTGGAGATCTCAGGGCGCTAGAGGAATTGGGAGGATCGCTCCAGAAGCTGGGACCACGAAATTCACAATGGGGAGGACCACGCCCACTTTCGATTTCCCTCCTGCGTTAGAGCCCCTTTTTGCCCTTTTTACGCTTTCCAATGTGGTTTTTCGGATTCAGCATGGCGAATAGGCCCGGGTAAGCACAAAATCTCAAAATCGAGTTCTTGCCCGGACACTGCCTTTAAAGGCAGTGGTGCAGCCAAACATCTCGAAATTTTGGTATGGAAGGTTGCTTGCATCCCAAACATCCGAACAGAGCAGGTCCGAGCGCAATACCTGCTCCTCCTAGAAAACTACAACTAAACCCGTGCGCGAGCTTGCGGTCCCCCCCCCCCACCGTCAGAGGCGGCATGCCGCAATGCTATACACATGAGGGTCCGCAACGACCCTACGTCTCTAGCCATGGCGGAGAGTGGTCCACTGGGTAGAGGAACGAACACCTCAATTCGGCACCGTCGCCGTGGGCTGCTGGTCCTTTCGTCCTACTGTTGTGCATTGTCTTGGGACCAGTGGCCCGCGGAGGCGGTGCCTAATTGAGGTGTTCGTTCCTCCATCCGGTCCACTCGTCGAAATTCAAAATGAGAACCCTTGGAAAAATGCTGATTTTCGACATTTTCGTGCTCTTCAGAGTGTTCGAAATCAGCGCGTCGAATTGCCCCAGGTAAGCGAAAAAAATTCAGGTTGAGGATTTGCCGAGCCACTGCCTTCAAACGCTTTTAGTTGTCCCGATTAGCATGCATGTAAGACCTAGGAAGAGTGCATGAACCTTATAGCCTGTCCCTCACGAAGACGACTTGAGTGCAAATCGAGCAATTTGTTTGCTCATCTGTCGACGTCATCTAATGTCCTCGACAACACTCGCCCGACTGTTGAAGTTCACATCATAAGCATAAAAACTCAACTTTGTCAGGCAGAATTAAATCCGAGAAGCGATACCCAGCCTGGCAAATACTTAGAGTAGCCCCACCGTTGCGGTTGCGTCTTAACCTATAGCGTGTAAGAAGTGCGGCCTTTGATAAGACTCGCGGCCCACGGAATGATGTGATTGGTCCGCGACGCTCCCGATAATCTTTTCCCAAGTTCAACTTTGGCCGCGGCTGCGAGGCTGAAATTTTAAGGACCGCGGCTTGTCAGGCGAAGATTTTGAGGGCCGCGGCGCGCCACATAACACGTTTTGAGGCCGCGAACTTTCCGATGCAATTGTTTGAACAGCAAAAACGAAATTAACGCTCACCGAAAACAGTATTGTAAGGATTGTCTGCTGCTTGATTCTTAGCAGCTTCTCCTATGAGAATTTCGCTTTCAGTGAACGCAACGTATGAAGGCGTAACACGATTTCCTGCTTATATGACTTTTAGTTTATAACCAAAGCTTACAAGAAAAAGACAAACCTTGGTCATTAGGTATAATTTCCACTCTCCCTTGCCTGAATATGGCTACACATGAAGAGAACGTGCCAAGATCGATTCCGACCGCATACTTTGATGGCATCTCCTCACATACCAGACGTGGTAGACCTGCCTAAGGCGAGCATCTTCAGACGCACTGCTTCAGCAAGAGATGGTAGATTAGATACCCAAAGAGGCATTCTTTGAAACTTGCTCAGCTCGATTATGGGACGTCTTCAGGAGGTTGTGGACAAGAGGGCGAGCGTATCAGCGATGCGGTTGTCCGTTGTTGCATAGCTGATAAAATGATTATCAGTTGAACATCGCGATCGCCCTCGCAGCATTCGAGGAGCCGACGATACTTGCCATGTTGTTTGCTAATCTTACCGAATGCCCGTTAGTTACAAGTGAAGTATCAGCGCTGACTTATTTTGTAGATATCACTGCAGGACTTTGGAACCCTGCCAAGTTCGAGATCGTTCCCCGTAGAGGATCTGCTTTTTATGGCTGATGCATGTCATTTACTCATCAACCGCACGGACTGATATTGTCACTGCAACGCACTCGACGCGCGTTGACCGCAACGATTTGGCCGCGCAGTGAGCCGCGCAGGCAATCCATGCGGTCATTGGGTAGAGGACTATATATCGCCGAAAGAAGGCGGCCCCTCCCGGCGACTTATAGTAATCCCTGTGGTCAATGAATAGAAATGTCGGTTGTTCTGAGACTGGGAGACCCTAGTACCCTTTGATTCAACTGGCTTAGCGGCTGGAAGGTAGTGATCAGACAGCACGCGAGCGGGAGAGACGCGGACGCGTTGCGGGCGCGAGTGGCCTTAAAGGCAGTGTCCGGGCAAAAAGTCGATTTTGAGATCTTGTGCTTGGGGCCTATTCGCTATGCTGAATCCGAAAATCCACACGAAAGCGCGAAAGCGGCCAAAAATTGCTCTAACGTAAGCGTGAAATCAAAAGGGGGCGGGGTCTTCCCACGGTGAATTCACGGTCCCAGCTTCCGGAGCGATCTTCTCGCTTCCGATTTCAGATCATGCGTTTGCATTTGGTCTGTGGAGATGTCAGGAAGGTTAGCGGAACTGAAAAGATCGCTCCGGAAGCTGAGACCGTGAATTCACCGTGGGGAGGACCCCGCCCACTTTTGATTTCACTCCTGTGTTAGAATCCTTTTTCACCGTTTTCGCGCTTTCCAGTGTGGATTTTCGGATTCAGCATGGCGAATAGGCCCGGGTAAGCACAAAATCTCAAAATCGACTTTTTGCCCGGACACTGCCTTTAAAGGCAGTGGGTCGGCAGAATGAGACCCGTGGCAAAACAAGGTCACAGGGTAGGAGCCCCATAATGGAAACTATGGGCCAAAGTTCGATCTTTCTCTGCCACTCGTAACCCCCGAAATTTCAAAGCGAAAGCAGCGCTCATCTCCTGTCCTCTCCGAACCCGCCCACCCCATGGACGAGTGAATTCCGCGGCCAGAGCGCCAGCCGCAATGCTATAAGCATGAGGTCCCGCAACGACTCTGCGTCTTCGCCATGACGTGCTTCGCGTTCACTCGTCCATGGGGTGGGCGGGTTCGGAGAGGACAGGAGATGAGCGCTGCTTTCGCTTTGAAATTTCGGGGGTTAGGAGTGGCAGAGAAAGATCGAACTTTGGCCCATAGTTTCCATTATGGGGCTCCTACCCTGTGACCTTGCTTTGCCACGGGTCTCATTCTGCCGACCTACTGCCTTTAATAGGCCACAAGGCCCCGCCTTTTAGCCGCCACGCTAGTTGAATCAAAGGATCACTTTGTACACTCATTGTCTAAACAAGCTTGATCGTGTATAGGGCATACCAGCCACCATCGGTCATGGGTACCCAGGGGATGAGGCAGCGCGCGCGCTACGCGAGCGAAGAAGATTGCACTCGAGCGCGAGAAGTAGCCTGGTTCTTAGAGTCATGGCATTCATTCAACTCGTGTTTACCTTCTATTTTCTTGTTAGGCATCAGATTCCGCGCTTGTATCGATTACTAACCATTTGAGGTGGTGGCGCTGTTCGGCTGAAGAGTGTTCAAGCAGGGATGGTGAAGCGCATCTTTTGCTCATTCACAGCACAAAATTATCATCTATTCCGAGTTGAGGAGTCTCGAGCATGCTTTGCGCAAACATAAGGAGAAAATGTTATTGTTTTTTTTTTCGCCATTTGGTTGGTTTACTACTAGAGACTGAAGGACGAACATGTTCAACTTTGATGAACAACATGTGAAACGTTCTCAAGTCTCCTAATCTCAAAATTGATATAATCAAAGTGTCAAATTTCAGTCACAGTCACATAAAGCTGCATTACCTGTTAACGATTTGGAAGAAAAAAAGTTTCAGGGTGTTATGATGTTTATATTGCGTGAAATATGGAAAATGAGATATTCCAACAAGCAATCAAGTACGAAATGAAGTTCGACAGATTCGCGAGAGAAGTTTTTTCACAAATAAGCAAGAAATTTTGGAAAACAGCGATAATTCAGCCCTGGCCACAGATCTACAGGCAGACTTTGCGCTCGGGTACTAATTTCGCTGCCTGCGTCGCGCCCTTGCAGCCTCATCCCGCGGGTGCCCACGACCGATGGTGGTTGGTATGCCCTATAGTTAAGGTTTATACTTGTGTTTCATCTCATTGAATTATTTACTACATGGGACTAGAAAAGAACAAGTTCAAGCTTGTTTAACACATTGACTACAATGCGACCCACCGGTGGGTCGTACGTATCCTGCCATTTCGGACATTTCGGATTGCCCGTAGAATTTCGTCGTAAACTGGCAAAGCATCCACCGGTGGGTCGTAAGATTCATGAAGCGCTGTCTTTGCCAGTTTCCGACGAAATTCTAGGGGTTCTGGCACATGATTGGGGGCACTTAGATGAAGCTCCAGCCAGGGTGGTCAGGGCTCGGGGTACTGTAATGTAATGTTACGGTAGGTGTACGGTAGATATATATAAGGCACAAGCTTTAGCTGAAATTCTTCGTAAAATGATGCTGTTTTTGGAGAAATCAAGTTTACATGTAAGAGTAATACGAGGCGGGCAAGAGGCTGACGTTAGCCCATCAAAAAATTATCGATTTCATTGATTTTTTGCATTTTTCATTCTAGGAAGCTCGAACTTTGCATATATAGGTTTTGTAGCATGCTGATTACGAAAATGATAGTCTCAAGTTTTGATACCACCTTCTAACATCAGTTTCTTGATTTCTACGAAAATTCTAAAGCACTGCTACTGTAGTCTCACCGTGAGAATGTAGTGAACAAAGTGGACACTATAATCGTGATCAGCGCGTGAAATAACCCCAATATACAAATTTTCATGAAAATCCGTGATGTGTTGGATTCGTACAGAATGACTACCGTAACCTTATCGTATAACGCCAAAAACTGAAATAAATCATATTTTGGTAATCAGCGCGTTCGATAACCCTTGTGGGGAAATTCTCGGAGACATGTTCTGAATTTCTTCCAAAAAGACTACCATTTCGGAGACCCACGGGTGGGTCGTAAGTTTGGCAGAGCAAAAAAGCTCCTGTCCGAAATGGCAGTAATCGAAAATCGGCCTTGTCGTGAATGTGTTAGACAGTGTGTGCAGTACTCGAGCCTCCTAGTCTCATAGTAGGTGCTTCGAGTCATCCCTCTAATTGTGGCCAAATTTTGAAATGGACTATAATCAAACAAATGAATTGCTTAGGCTTGAAATATACCTGATGGGTCGCTATAGCTGACGATAAGACGCTGCCAGCAGCAACGCTGTGCGTATCGATTGACGCCAGCCGATGTTGCTGCTTCTAGCTGCTACAGCCAATGCGAAAGAGACCCGATATAGCTAGCGATGTTGCGCTGCTTCTTGCTGCTCCCTGCTGCTCGTGGCTGCTCCTTGCTGCTACGCAATATGAAGCTCACTTTTGGTGAGCTTCTCTCAGCTGCTTCATGCTGCTAACGCTGATTTTGCTTTTGCCCCTTCTTAGCATATTTTTAAAATTCTGAAAGATTTCTAGAGCACTTGTTGCGATAATGAACTATGCAAATTTGCAAGATTAAACGCAATTCGTCGATAAGAAAATCGATAAAGAATTGACAAAGTCGACAAGGAATGAAATCGGAACAACTGCACCGAACTTCTGCGAAGCAAAAATCAAATCAACTTGGAGTAACGATGAAAAGCCAAAGGATTTCAACGATTTAGCGGGATCTTACCAGTGCACCTCAAGACATTAACGACAGCCATAACCTAGATAGCTCAATTGTTGCCTCAAGCACACATCAAGGTTCTGCTGCGACATTCGTTTGTCAAATGATTATAATTTTCTCAATATATGCAACGTTTAATTTGCCATTTTATGCCTGCTACAAAGAAATTTTCTGACGAAGACTTTAAAAGAACCTCACATTATCACAATTTTCAATTTTGATAGTCTCAAGACTTGCTTTTCTGGCTTAGAGGCAGCGGCTCGGCATATTCTCGACTTGACGTTTTTTTTTTGCTTACCTGGAGTAATTCGAGGCGCTGATTCCGAGGATCCACCTTGAAGAGCGCGAAAATGGCAAAAACCACCATTTTCAAAGGCCTCCCACTTTAAATTTGGAAAAGTCGAGCGCGTCCCGCCATGGTTAGAGAGGGTGGAGGACTATATGTCGCCGAAAAGGGGCGGTCCTCGCGGTCATTTGCGACAAATACGCATCCTTGTGTATGCGCGGACATGCATTCCTGCAGGAAATCCGCCGGGGCTCTTCCAAATTCGGCGACAGACAGTCCTTCATCCGTTAGAGAGGCAGAGTTGCGGGACCCTCGCAGTTCATTGCAGCATGCCTTCTCTGACGGGTCGGGGAGAATCGCAAGCTCGTCCGCGCGTATTGGAACGGCTTGCGCGTAACGGGATTTTCTAGGCAAGGGCAGCATGTTGTGCGCTCGGAACTGCTCTGTTCCATGTTTGGGGTGCAAGCCTTCTATGTCAAAATTTCGGGATGTTCGGTTTTCGCGAGCTGCTGCCTTTGAGCTAAGCGTCCTAATAGGTTCGTTCTCGCACCCAAAGCGTACCCAGCTCAGCAGCCACAAACAGCTAAAGGCAGCGCAGACATCAGCGATTCGCCAACACCCGCTATACCTCCATCGTCAGGGGGTAGAGAACTATATGTCGCCGAAAGTAGGAGGGTCCCGCGCCGACATTGCAGCAGATACTCAGCCCGTGCATGTATTGGAGGGTGTACTTGTCGCAGATGTCCAGGGGACCTCCCACTTTCGGCGACATATAGTCCCCTACCCCTGTCAGGTATAGGCTGCTACATGACGAAGGCGCAATAACTTCGGGCGCGAACGCGGTTTTGTTGGCTGCGGAGCGCATATGGAGCAGGATCTACAACGGTGAAGATACGCGCGCGTCGTTCTCGCTCCCGCTCAACCAATAATGCTTTTGCGCCTTCGTCCTGCAGCAGCCTTTATATCTCAAGCCTTAGGTAGGTGCCAGAGTAAGCGAATATTTTGTTCAGCTTCGTTCAGCTGCAAAAGGCGCGCAGAATTAACGTTGATCCTGCGCAGCTGAAGCAGGCCTTGGCAGCAGTAGAGATTATGCAGCAGTAATTTTGCGTGCCTTTGGCAGCTGAACGAAGCTGAACAAAATATTCGCTTAGGGATCGGCCATACTATTCCAGTGATTCCTGCTATTCCTGCAGTTCCTGTGAGTCCCGCACAGTTTAGGCGCCGCTTAAATGAGCGCGTGTTGCGTAAAACAACACGTAACACGCGCTCATTTAAGTGGCGCCTAAACTGTGCGGGCTCACAGGAATTGCAGGAATCGCAGAAATAGCAGGAATCACTGGAATAGTATGGCCGATCCCTTACTCTGGCACCTACCTTAGGGCGTGAAATTGCGGGTAGTTGCCGTGATATGCGAGGGAGCACGTTTTATTTCACGCTTCATTTGGTGGGCTCCGTTTCGATGGGATACACTTTATTTACTCAATTACAGTCTATCGGAACTTTATGAGGAGAGTTTCGGAAAGTTTTGCACCCGAAGCACTGATTTATGGGCAGGTCACTTTCGCACGGTGTGCTGTCGACGTCGTGCTGCACAGCTGATGCGACGCACACGTAGTGGTCGTGGTAAACAAGCTGGACTTGAGCTGTTTTGCAGCCCCTGCAGAATTAATGCTCCTGTTTTTCTCACTTTGTACCCTCAGTGATTTGAAGCACGCGAAATGTAGTTGGTTTGCTCTTTATCCATTGAAATTATCATAAATTGATCGTTCATTCACGCAGTCACCCTATCGTAATGGTTCTATGTTGTTTTTCTTGTGTATATAATACATCCACATGAACATGCTTATGTTCAGAATGGGTAATTCCCTGGACCGGTTTGCTGGCTACGAGGATGAATCGCCAACAGACAATCAGGAATCTAGAAAAAGGAGGAATGGTGAAACGAGTGATTCTCCTCCGAAGAAGATCACAAAACTGGACACTGCTAAATATGTTTATGAACGATTATTCTTGCAGGTAAGATCTGAATTCTTTCTTGTTTCTGCTTTTTTTATTTCTATGATTTTAGTCTATGCTTCTTTTACTTTTTCACATGTTATTTGTAGTGCACTGCGCTCTTGCGATACATTTTCGAGGAAATTATCACCAAGAAGTGCTCAAATGTTTAATGAGTACTGTGAGGAAAGAGAGCGATATGATCTTGAGACTTGTTTGGAAATACTGCGAGAAACTGTATATGATTTATCTGTTAGTCTTGCTGACTGTTTTGATGAGCACGTGTCGCGGCCAGCGTTTACTATTTGTGTTGTTCTTTTTTGTCTTGTTCGAAAGTGAAACCATAGCATCATTGTAGAGAATTTTGTTTCTTGCAGTTCCCATGAATATCGGGGGGGGGATGGCTGCTTTTCAACGTTTATAAACGCAAAAATATATCTCTTTGGAAAGTTGGCCATTAAGCCAGCCTTGTCTTGCTGTAACAAGAAGCTGATGCTACCTAGATCACAGCATCATTGCTACCTAGATCACAGCATCATCGTAAAGAATTCCTTTGTTTCCCGCGATTTCCACCACCACGGCAAAGACCTGCTGTCAATGTTCAGTGCTTAATCTAAAAAACTTCATTCCCTCGATAAAAAAACCATTTGAGCCAGCCATGGTGCTGGAAGAACAAGAAGGTGGTGGGACTATGGGTATTTATCCGTGCCTTCTTTGTCAGGTTCTCTCCAATGGTCCATAATTTTCTTTTCTGTTGCACTTTTTTGTAATTATGCAACGTTTGTATTCACTAATTAGATAGATTGCAATCTTAGGGCGAAGGATCAGATGTGACAGTTCATGCACTCGGTCATGTTTGGCATCTGCATAAGCTTTACTTGCAGCAATGCAAGTATTTCGAGGTGCGTGTTCACTACCTTTATGAATATCTTGGTTCCGTTTTGTACATACTTATCGCGTGACACTCAAGGTGCTGATGCGAGGGGACTGGAGAGATTCCAAGGAAGATGTGCTATACCTCAATTTTCCTGACGAGAATGTGACTCAAGAAGGTAAAAATGATTTCGCTAGGTTTTTTCTATATCTCAAGAATGTAAAAATGATTTCACTAAGTTTTTTCTATATATTTCGTTGCCGGAGGTTCACTGGATCTCTAAACTCGTACAAATAGCTTTTTAACCGAAGCGATCGATTATTTGCCCACTGTTACGATCAAAGAGCTGAAATTCGGTAGATGATTCCATGCACTTGTCTGTATTCTGTTCTTTTGTATGTCGTCATTGTTATCGATTACCTATTGTTATGAGATCCACAAAGTTCATGCTCATGTAATTGCAACAAACCAGTTTTGTTTGACGTTAACCCAATTATCAGGTCTTCATGCTGTTTTGGGATCCCTGTATCACAATCAAATAGAGCTCGATCTGGACAACGCCGAAGGAGTACTTTCAGCTGCGTCAGTGCTACAGCTGGTCGGTTGTGTTGCTGTTTTGGATATAGTGTTTCAAAACAATCTGTGAGCTTTGATGTATCTTTTTGAGGAAAGTGTTTTGGAACGTTGTGGCGATGCTATGGCTGAGAATCTTTCTGTCGATAATGCTTTGCGTTATCTGAATCTCGCAGAGATGTACGGATTGCCACAGGTCAGTTTGCCTGGCAGATTCAAAAATTTTTTATGACTTGCGCTACAGGTGACGAACCGTGCCTATCACTTGCTAAAATGGAATTTTTGGAGGTTCATGAAGTCTAAGGAGTACCTGAAGAATTTAAGGTGAGTTGACTAGAGCGAGATATTACGTAATTTAGCGAATTCTATTCCTCAGGGAGGACACATTTATTCGATTGATATCCTCTACAGAATTATTGATCATGGAGGGAGAAATGGATGTATATAATATGATCAAAATGGTGAGTGTTTTTCCTAGTTGTTCCGTTTTGTCATTTATCCTCTCATCGTTCAAGTGGATATTTCTTGACGAAAAACCTCACGCTGCTGCATTACCTGAAGCGGATTTTCAACGTCAAATGTCTGAAACTCTCGCCAGTTACCCTGAAGGTCAATTGTTTGTCAAACATGCTGGATTATTTGCAGCATTAAGACTCCATCATATAACAACCACTATAGGTTGGTAGCCTTAGTTCCTTTTTTCCTTTTCTTTTTCTTCCGCGGTTGGCAAGAATTTTCTTCTAGCAAGTTTAAAGACTGTCGAGAATGACCATCTAATACCTAAAGACGTATTGAACGCCGTCATGGTCGATCAGTGGAAGACAACATTATCTAACGAGGAGAATCCTACAGCGTAAGTTTTTGTGAGCTTACATTTTTGATCTCATGCTTTTGTAGAATTTGCATGAAGTTGCGTTTGTCGTGCTCGACACTCTTGCTTTTGTACCTGACAAGTGCTTTTCAGTGTAAGCGACTTGTCCATGGATGATTTTCACGTGAATTCTTTACGATTAGGACGATTGATAGATGCTATGCCGGTGAGTTTGATTAGTACAACATTTCAGCTTACATTCGATCAAATCTCACCGATGCGACAGAAAACTTACAAGCCGTTTTCGTACCAGAATTTTTTTTCAGAAATGTTGGCGTTGGACCGGTTTCAATAATGGTGTGGATATTGTAATGAACATGTCACACGGGTATGCGTTTAGATACTTTTTCTATTCGAAAACCCCTAACTGTGGCTTTTGCAGAGTCCTGACCATGAAGCGAAATTGCCTGAGTCAAGCCACACCCTACTCCATTAATCTGAAAAGCGAACGTGTTGTTCACTACAGGTGGGTGTGATCGAATGCAGCTATCGTGGCTTTTAACCGTATGCGGAAGACTTGTTATACTCAATTCCACCAAACGCGAATTCAACAATAATCTACAAAAGCTTTTCAGGGCCATAATATCGGACAGCGCAGGTGCTTGCCTATTTGACAGCACCAAACAGAGCATAGCTTTGAGGCTTGATCAGGTATGCTTTTGATGATTGTAAGTGTAAAAACTTTGAGACAATTTTGTACTCAGGATTACAGATCCTGACTGCACTTGGTTTGACAGCGATCCAAAGTTTTCTTTTCGATTCCTTCAATTTTTCAAGATGTTATTATAGAGCGTCGTTGTGGCACGCCTCGGTGATGACGTGAAACTTCCCATATCTGTCCACCTCCTATATCTGGCAGCTCAACCCGGTCCTCCGTCATTTCTTTATGTAAATCAATACATCAAAAATGTTGTCAAGAAAGAAGACGAGGAAGAAACGTTTTGCAGAATGTCTGCAGATTAGTTTGTACCTCAAATTTATAGTACAAATCACTTCCGGCGGCATTGCCATGCGCTCAGGTATCGGATTGATGTCCTCTGCTTTGTTCTGACCTCATCTTTATTGTACAGAAAGCAAAACTCTTCAGATCTCTTGTATGAGATGATAGTTTATCATTTTGTCAACCTCTTGTTTGGTGAGCTCGCATTTCAATTTACTCGACTCGTTTGCAATGCATATTCGCTAGTAATTAGTGTGCAACACTAGATCCTGGTTATCAGCTTTATATTCTTTTCAATCATCCATTTTGCAACTCTTTTCACGTTTGTTTTATCCTCTATCTTTACATCTCATATTTTTTGTGTGCTTTTTGCTTTTTTTGTGTTACCAGTTTTTCTAACCACTCTCTATGCAATGTTTTTATGTGCAAAGCCTAATCAGTCTGCCAGTTTTCTTCATTTTGCTTCATCGTTTTTACCTGTTCCTGCCTACTTAGTAGTCCTCTTCTAGTTATGTTTCTTACAGTTATTTACTCTCTGTGATCGTTTGTACATATGTGATAAATACCTTGGTTGATGTACATTCACAGTTTTTCTTCGTTTGCCTTGCGAAGAGAGTTGAACTAGTCGAGGACTGGTTGTAGATTTCGTACGCGATAATGGACAGTTTTCGTTAGATCTTTATCTCTCGTACTTGCTTCATTGAGTTTAGTAAGAATAGGCCAAGTCTATCAAAGTTTTGCGTGCTGGCCAGGACGTAGTCCCTTGTTCGCTTTGGGGTCGGTTCTCTCAAGAGGACGCAAAAACTTCCAGGTGCAGTGAGATCATGCGTTTGAACGTATGCGTCGCTTTCTACAAATTGTTAACGTCGTAAATATAAAATTCATGGATATTGTGATGAATGATGGATGATTATTGACGGAACAGTGGAAAATGCTGATTTTTACGAGGATAATTGCACTAAAATGTGGACAAGCAGTGAAGCAAAAATACAAAATTGAGTATATCGTCGTCGTTGACCGCACGGACTGGACACCACTGCGGAGCACGCGCCGCGAGGTAACGCTTGCCCCAGTAAGGCCCAAGGCATACCTCGCGTGATTCCGGTCGCTACGCGATTTGCACAACAGCAACTCTGTTATTCGTTGTTAATGCGCTGCCTTTGATCAGAACTTGATGCGTTTGCAACAACTTACACAAGCTACCCAAATATGCATTCGAGAAGCGCGCACGACAGATTTGTAAAAATCTGGCAATTCGCCAAGTCGCGTGAAAGTGGCGATTCGGCCGAATCGCGTGAGGTATGCCTTAGGCCTAAAGTCGCCTGCACGAAATCGCCTGGGTTGCTGTAGGCTGAACGCGCACGAGCGTGCCTGCAACGCGGCTGCCGAGTACGGGCGCCATGATGTTATGCGCGCGAATACCAATGTTAGCCCGCAAGAGACGCGCTCGCGAGTGCTCAGTCCGGACGATTCCTTGCATTCAACTATACTACTTCGTAGCATTTCAGCCGCGCCGCGTGTGGTGCGCAGCTCTTGGGCAGTCCGTGCGGCCAACGAGTCAACGATTTATAGTGTGTTCTGTGAACGCATCACGAGGCAGGCAGTTGAACGGGAACACCGCTTGAAGAGAGTTCAAATAGAGGGATGTAGAAAAAGCTGCAAATTTCCAATGTAAATCCTTGACATTTTTCTGCACTCCAAGCGCGCACCCTCCCCTTCTCCCCAGGTTCTACTTGTACTAGGAAGTAGAATTCGCTCGAAAACCCGTACGCAGTGACGTCACACGCGCGCTGAAAATGTTGCGTTTGTTCGAAAACATCGTAGCGATCGGGTTGAGGCAATCAACGCACGCGCAATACATGAATGACTTCGACAACGATGACTGGTTGACGACATCATTTCACGCCCGCGTAGTTGTTAGTTTTCTGTACGCGCTCGTCGTCGCGAATCGATCAATTATTGATTCATTCTGCATCTGTGTTGATCAAACGATTGTTATCACACGTTGGTCGTTCTCGCTCCGTGTGTGTGTTCTTATCGTAAAGAGGGGCCTCCCGTACAAATTTCGAGCGCGACGACGGACGTAGCGTACCGGGTGGAGCGTTCCAAGTGCGTGAGCAAATAATTTATGCTCTCCTGACGTCAGTCGGATCCGCCCGCTTTGACCTTTCGCGCAAATCCACCCGGATCTGATCTGGCTGCGGATCAGTACTGTATTCTAGTACGTATCCCAGCCTCTGATTGGCTGATTACTGTATTCTTGGGTCAGATATAGCTATGGTCATACTGTATCTCTATTTGATCTTCGGTTCATTGTTATTGATTTTCTCTACCGTACTACTGGTTACTGTAATTGTTCAATTTCGACTGCGAGAAAAGTACAGCATTTTTGCAGGTGAGTACAATCATTACTTACCTATTTGCGTAAAAAAACAAAGTAATAAATATAAGAAACTGTGTAATAAAATTATGAGTGTTTCTAGTTTCTGGAAATTTCTGTAAGAAATTTACCCAAATAAGCTTACAATGACAAATAATAGGGTTGGAAGTTTTTCTAGCTGCTCTAAAACCCATTTCTACCGTAATCAACCCGAATTGGGTAAATAATAATGCACTCGCCGCTCAATTCTAGGAAAAGGAAGAAATAAATCTAATCACTTTTTCCATTTTCTTATCTTTCACTAGTTTGCTGCCGAAAAACTGCTCTTTCTAATTTTGTTTCTGATAACAATCATCGTGCAAGTGAGTAAAAATTTCTGCAATTCGGGGAATCAAATTCACATTTTCATTTCCTGACATCGTTCACAGTGTTTGCATAGAACATGAATGTCCTCATTGTTCGCTTCTTACAATTAGGACAACGACATTGACGGAGGATTTTCTGTATGAAATGCAATTCGAAGCGTCTAACAGCTTAGCGTTACGATCCGAATGCGAAACCGCAATAGGGGGGGGGGGGGGACAGGGGAGGGAGGATTCAAATATAAATAAATGCATCATCGTGAGTTACGTTCTTGCTAATAAAATTGATGACAGGGGCATTTCAATCAGATGGCTGGACGTTCACTAGGTCTTTAAAATCAAAAAATTTCTTGGAAACATTCTGAGAATAGACAGTAAAGCTAGAAAGGAATGAGCGAAAAAATTCGAGCTAACATTCTGAAGTCCAATCAAAAACAGCATCAAAATCAGTAGCTTTTCATATTTTTGCACTTAATCGCTTTTTCAAATTTCTTCATTTAATTGCTCTGTGTTTTGCAAACCTCTCCATCTCTTTTTTCAACTATCAATTATATGATGAAGCAGTCAAACATCCCACACTTGGCTAATCTCGCATGACTCACAAATTTTCCTTGTTCCATACACGGAAGCCTAATGTCTGCGTGGGAGCTTTAGATAAGCCATTCCATTATCACAAGAAAATTTACGACTGATTAGGATCCGGTCTTGTGCCTAGATAAACTTTGTCCCTTTCCCTACCTTCACCCCGCCCCCGTCCCTCTCCCCCTCCCCAAAAACAGTTTGAAAATGATTTAAAAACTATATATTAGAGGATGATTGGATTCTTCAGTGCAAGGGATCAAAAAACGATCCTGTTTATATGATAATTTATACTAATTTGCGCCATAAATTGATAAATAATAGGAGTAGTTGTAATCTGATTAGATACACTATTTAACGGTACTCCTCAATTGCATGACGTTTTTATCACGCCGTCAAGGGTAATAATCCAAAACAATGTGATTGGCGGGGTGGGGGGGGGGGGGGGGGCGAAAGGGGGGAGGGGGGAGGGAAGGGGAGGATAAAAGTGATTATCCACACAAATCATATGTGTAGATGAATTCCAACGTGACTCAAATGAATTTTGAATTTCATATAAATTCAATTTTTGTTGAGAAATATTCCAGTGTGTGAAGATTAGCATTAGGTTTTCATGTTGATGTTTTTTTTTATGTTTTGAGTCTTCAAAAAAGTCGTAAAAAACTTGGTGCCTCTCCCTTTATCGAGAGAAACCGTCATTTTTTCTCAAAAACCTGTGATGAGCATTCTACAGGTGGAAAAATAAAAGGAAAAATTCATGTGTTATACAAATTACGTAGCCGTCCATAACTTGCTTTTATTTTGGAATATGTAGTCTACGAAGTTTCACTTACGGCTCCTGCTCTATTCTCGGAGTAAGATTATACAAAGTACTCAGGAAGAGATTCAATGAGTAACAACCTGCATAAGGAGCGATAAATCTTACGTCATTGTACGTACATTCGAGCCCAGCAGCCCCATCCAAATGAATTCTTCAAAGTGAATTGCGCTTTGGCCTTTCCATCTTGCAAAATAGTGTTATTCTCATCATTATGGTGATCTACAGATTGAAGTTTTTCTCGTCCCATTCGACTAAAGGACCGGTCACGTCACCTACAGAGTTGGTTTTATCATGTGATAGTTTCAGCCCTAAACTTCTTACACTTTCGATCTTACCCTAACTTCACGCGTATAGGACGCGGGGGATTTTTTTTAAACCGAACAGCACAGACACGCCGAAACTTCGCGAATAAAGAACTATATAAATACAATGCTGCATTTTGCCTGAGGGTGTCGTGCGGCATAAGTCTCATTTTCCAAAATACAGCGAGACGGCTGAACTGCTTGCTTTTAAAAAATCGAAAAGATGCGTCCTATACTCGTGAAATTAAGGTAATAGGAAAGCGGAGTAATATTAAGATGGATGATAAAAAAAAACCGGTCAAATTTGCGGCTCCTACAAATGCTTACGGATAAACTTTTGTTCAGCGTCTGGTCTCTGGAAAGAGCGCTTTGATAAAATTAGAATGTGAATACTGTTTGAGTAGAATTCATACCTTTTTAAAAAGGCTCAAAAGTGAGAAATCGCGATTTCCGTCGTGCAAATATGAAAAAATTTGTTTTCTTCAATTGAAGAAACTCAAAAAGAAAGATCACAAATTTTAGTTATTCGCTAAATAGAAAAAATTTAAATATATTTACATAGCAAATTACTTCATCTCTG